GTTGTTTGCTGAGCCATCCTCTCAGCTCAATAGCTCCTTTTTGACTTCTTCCTGGAATGATTTATTTTTGTTTTTTTATTTGTTTGTTGTTTGGTTTGGTTTGGTTTGGTTTGGTTTGGTTTGGTTTGGTTTGGTATGGTATGGATTTTGAGATGTGGTATACATGTCTAGCTCAGGGTAGTTTCTAACTAGCAATCCTCTTGCCTCATCCTTCCCAGTGCTGGGATTATGAGCATACACCACCACACCATCTTAATCTTACAGGCAGATTCAGTATAGCCTTTTCTGCTTAAATCTTAACTCCCACAGCATTTAAGAATCTACTGAACTTTGTTACAAACCAGTAGTTTTCACTGCAGAAACAAGGTGTGTGAGAAAATCCAGCAAAGTCATTAACATATAGACTTCCTTATGCTCTTCTTCTTGCCTGAATGTACTTTAAGTCCATGCCTGATTACACTGAATGACTAATGAGTGAGCATCTTTTTTCCCCAGGCATTTTTTAGCAACTATTTAGAGACAGCAATTTTGGGAGCCAGCTCTACCTGACAGGAAGCTTCCAGAGTGGGGACTTTAATGGCAGTTGTTTTGCAGGCTTGCTTTCTAAGGCATTCTATTCCCAGCAGGAACCATCTGCAGTATTTCCCATGCACTGATAGAATTCCTAACTGATTACTGGAAGGTGTATATTAAGCACATTTCTCCAGATAGTTGGGTAGTTCACAAGCATGATTCAAAGGCACTTCCTGTCATCTCTTTTAAGTCATACGATCTTAGAGATTTTGTTTAAAGAGAGTTTTCTGGGTAATGGCTAAGATGTTTCATGAAGAACAGGGAGCTCCAGAAGGAAGAATTTTCAGGGGAGAATAAGATACACAGGAAGGAAAATGCTATGAGGAAGAAAAGGACCAGATCAAGGCAGAAAGCAACCAGAGGAGAGTTCTGGTCTCTGGAAGAAGTTCTGGTTATGGTGATTAGAAAAAACTGAAGAAGTGATTCATGGGGACCTCAAGCAGCTGAGTCTCTAGGGACTCAAAGGAATCTGACTCTCTCTCTCTCTCTCTCTCTCTCTCTCTCTCTCTCTCTGTGTGTGTGTGTGTGTGTGTGTGTGTGTGTGTGTGTGTGTGTGTGTGTAGAAGGGAGGTAGTTTTTGCTGCTTTACCGTAGCTCATAATGGCATAATTCATAGAACTCCCGAAGAACAGACACTGACCACCCGAGGTGGCAAATACATACACACTGTGCCAATGCCAACTATGTCTGGCCAGTTTTTGCTAGTAAAAAAAAAACCCATGCAAAATCTGTAAACAGATGGCAATATTCAACACAAAAAGGAAAAAGAAGTGATGGAAGCTAAGTAGCCATCATCATGGACAGGGGTCAGTACTAGCCTCAGTGGTAGTGTTGGGAGACACAGGGGAAGAGTGTGCCATGAGTGAGAACTTGGGACAACTAGATCCCACCAAAGGTCATTTTCCCTGCTCCTCCCAAGTCCCCCTCCCCACACTAATTGCTGGCCAATAGCCCAGACCAAGCCTCAGGGAGGAAAGCATTCATTACTTTGATGGATTCCACTCCCCTTGAGCTGGAATTTAAGACTGCCAAAATATCTCCAGACTTAACAGCAACATTGCTATACCAAGGAGAGGGAGTGTGTTGTGGCAGGGAGAGAGCTTTCTCTGTCTTCATGCCCTGCACCGACAGGGGCAAGGGTTTTTTGTTTTGTTTTGGTTTGTTTTTTGTTTTTTGTTTTTGTTTTTGGTTTTTGGTTTTTTTTGTCTGTTTGGGGGTTTTGTTTGCTTTTGCTTTCTATAATCAGATTGGGAGAGGGGTCCACTTACACTGCTTCAAATAAATACCAGTCTCTTAGAGAATTGGCTTCACAATTCAGTGGGGATTTAAAATCAAAACACAGGTTGGGGGTTGTGACACACACCTGGAATCCTCAGAGGCAGGGGGATCATTGCAGATATGAAGGCAGCCCTGTGGTCAATATACTAAGTTCCAAGCTACTCAAGATCAAAGAGTGGAACCTCATCTTTAAAAAAGTTGCAAAGAAATTGCAAACACAAAACCCCTCTGAACTGGTTAATATAAATCTATCTCGCTCCATACTGTACCACACATTACAAGAACTGAATTTATGACAGAATTATTCACTTTTCCAAAGGGACCTCTTTTGGGGTTTCTTCAACAGGGGTGATTCCTCTCCGATGTTCTTTGGTGGCTTTCAGAGTTAGAGCAACTTTTTAGAAGGACTTCATAACCAAGGCCCAATTACATTTTTTTTTTTTTTTTTTTTTTTTTTGCTAAAGGTGTCCCCAAAGCCTCTCAAATGTCTCTCTAGCTGTCCACACGCTATTATAAAGAAAAATAAGGCAACAGTAACCAAAAGTCCCTTTCATCAGCAAGCTATCAATAGTAAGTTCCTACTGATATTTTAAAAACACAGAGGAGGATTTGGGGCTGCTCCTAAGCACAATCAGCTTAGCATTGCTTTCCCAAGAAGGGATTTCTAACACAAAGGCAAAATAAGGGTACGGTTATTTCAAACAGCTTGATCAAGATGCAGACAGACCCTAGCCAGTCACTGAACACATGACACGAAGCCCAGCATGGAATGAACCACTTTGGGAAAGTATCTTCTAAAGGAGGCAGCAAGAGATAGGATCTAAGAATGAGGAAGGAGTCACTGGCTGTCCCTGGCTGGCTGAACACTAGGGCTGGTGAGCAATAGAACAGTCACTTATCTTCTCTTGCTCCTGACAGCAGAGCAAGAGAGATGAAATGCTGCTGAGCACATACACGGGTGGGGTTTCTTAAAGTACTTGTGTGTATGCTTGTTCATGGTCCTGGGGCATCTCCATGACAACGAGAACACCAAAGATCCTTTTGTTTCCGTGGGCTATATCCACTGATAGTTACTGCATTAGAAAACACGATAGAAAAAAAAAAAGAAAGAAAACAGAAAAATATTTCATACGTTTACTAATTCAATTAAAAATAATAAAGAGGAGGTGATGGAAGAAGAATGAAAATGAATGAATGAAAAGAGCAGCATCATGTTAGAGTCTGGCAAATCCTTCTAATATGGCCCAACAGAAGACAGTTGGACTCCTCTGTCAATTACTGCAACTGATTTGTTGTGTTATTAATATTTCAGATCACTTGGACTCAAGTAACTTCACTACAGTCTTGAAATAATGTGAATCAAAACGGTCCAATAACATCTTAGCATCCTTATGAAAATGGACCTCCAAGAAAGGCCTGGGGAACCCCTCTGAGTATCCAGGCCACAAATAGACACCTGCCGAATCATTTAGGCGCAGTCACTATCCCACCAGCCAAAAGAGCAAATCCAGACAGAGGGAGGTTATGCAGTTGTAGATAAAGGACAAGGTGTGACCACCTGGTTTGGAAATTGCAAGAGTAGCCTGAGTCATGGAGGGGAGGAGCTGGCTTACTAGAGGAGCTAGTGACATTATTTACCCCTGTCAGGCAGGCATGCCTGGGGTGGAGGATGGGGGACATGGGGGGGGGTTGTTGGAGGGACACAACCACTGGTCCTGAAGGGAAAGCTGGAGAAATGTTTCAGGCTTCTGGAGATCATCTGACACTGGGTAAGAAAAGCAAAAAACAAAAAACAAAAAAAACTCGGACCAGGTGCTGCCTAGAACATGGGGTCCTTCCCTCAGACCCAGTTCCAAAGTAAGCAGCTTTGGGTTCCATAGAAACTCCGGGGGGGGGGGTCCCATTCCACCTCCATTAGGCAAATGAGCTGGCTGCCTGGGCACACCATCACCTCATTCCTTCGGAAACTTGAGCAAGCCAAGAGAGCTGCTCCATTATTTACAGCTGCATTTTTACACCACCCTGTATTTATCAAGAACCCTCAACAAACAAAAATGGGCAGGATGGGAACCGAGAACCTCATTAACATCCTCTGGCATCCTATGAGAACCTCATTAACATCCTCTGGCATCCTATCCCATTGCCCAAGCACAGGACTACTTGTCCCCCTAGATCGCCTTTCTTAATTCACCCAGTGCTGCTCTTTGCGGTGAGTGCCTGCGGGAAGTCACTTCTCAAGGAATTTGGGAAGTGTGTGCAGTTAGGGAAGTGGGACAAGCTCCGCTCCCAGTGACTATCCCAGCAGAAAGCCAGCGCGAAAGGAACCCCAGGTATTGCTTTCTCCCAGAACTGGGCAGCCACTTCCGAGTGCAGCAGGTCTCCCCGCTTTCATCTTCACACGCGCACGAGAGAGAGGAGGAGGAGGAGGAGAGAGAGAGAGAGAGAGAGAGAGAGAGAGAGAGAGAGAGAGAGAGAGAGAGAGAGAGAGAGAGAGAGAGAGAGAGAGAATCCATTGTCTGCCATCAGCCCAAGGGTTCACAAAGCATTGAACAGGTAAAGTCGGTTTTCTTGTCAAAACTCGAGCGAAACAAAAACCAAAACTCTAACTTAGGAAGAAGACGCGCTACAAGGGACCACGCCCACCTCTCCAGCTACAAACTGGAGGTTCGTTTCCCTTCTTCACTTTGCAGATCCCTCCAAATGCAACACCCTTCTAGGATCTCGGAGAGGTCAGATATCACCTCCTCAAAAAGGGCCACAGATTCAAAAGTTGCATCTCAGCCAGGTTGCTTGAGCCGTCTCCTCGCTCTGAGAAGTTATCTTTATTTCACCATTCCATCACAGTCTCCTTCCCTCAGCATCCTCCTAAGAGTGTAAGCACCTAATCCCCTGCGACATCCCCAGCGCCTGGCTCAGACAACAAAAGACATTGAAATGAATGAAGCCCCGATACCAGTGTCCGTGGGACTCGCAGGCAGGGGAGATTAGCACTCTCCGGAGCAGCCGAATCACCAGCGCGTGTGCCTCAGAGGTACCGGAGCCAGGATCGGCGCACCTCCTCCCTGACTCATGTCCGGCCCTGGAGCCGCAGGTGTCACCCGGAGAGTGCACCGCCCGGGCCAGCTCCAAGATGCTCAACCTGTACTCACCATGGTGGTCGCAGCCGTCCGGGTCGCGACAGCGGCGATCGCTAAGGATGCGACAGCCAGAAGATAGCTTAGCAGCCAGGCCGGCTGACAGGTGAGGCGCCAGCCTCAGACCATGGCTACTTCCCACAATGCCCTTGAACTGAAAGTTTGCAGACTCCTCCCCGCGCCGGGCCGCTCCTCCCCTCCGCTCCTCTTACACACCTTCCTCCCAGCTTCCTCCGCCCGCTTTACTCCTTCTCTGCCACTTCACAGGCTCTCGCTTCAGCTCCTCCTCCTTCCCTTTCTCTCTCCCTGTCACTCACCTTTTCCTCCCCTTTGCTCTTCCGCGCTGGTCGGACCCCAGCCCGCCCCCCAACACGGCTAGCTCTGCCCAGGGCGGTGCTAGCACCTGCGCGCGCACCTTCAGCACCAACCACATCACCAACCCCAGCTTCTGCTAGTTCAGGGTCTGCTTTATGTCTTCTGCAGGCGGGATGTGTACTTTGTGAATTGTACAAACGTTCGTCGGACTGCCAGATGTCCCCCCTTTACACCTGAGAAAAGCCTGCAAATCTGGCTGGCCCTACACCTCAGAGAGGGAGAAATTCACAGAGCTAGAAATAGATGGAAATTACACACACACACACACACACACACACACACACACACACACACACACACACACCAAAGTTGCAATCCAAGAGCATGCATAGCCCTCTCTGCCTAAAGTTCTCTAAGGTGTTATGATATTGAAACCTTTTTTCTCCCTTTGATTTTTAAGCCTAGATTATTTGTGTTGTTTAAATTGAAACATTATTTCATACTATCCTCCCTTCAACTCCTCCCGTATAATGGCCTCTTTTTCTTTAGTTGTTATTCTTCATGTATGCCTAACTAAATAAATGCAATCAGCTAGGTCTATTTAGTGTTACTGTTATGTGTGTGGTTTCAGAGCTGACCATTTGATATTGGGGAGTTTTTCATTGCTGCACTTAAGAATCTCCTGGTTCAAAGCAGAGTTTTTGGTACAGAGTAATTTGGGTAGAATAGAGACTCTTTGCTATAAACCCAAAGAAAGGCAATAACCCTTTGTCTGGATGGCTTCCAGGATCCTGTTTTGAACCCTCTGCAGTGCATAAACCCCATCCAGGAACAGGAAAGCAAAGAGAATCCTGCTGGGCTCCTGAGTCTCTACCACACATGTTTATTGTATTTCTCCCATGCCAGGCCCTATAGGGAGACTCCTGGTGATGGCTGGGGGTGTCTTTTTTGCTGGTGCACAGTCTCCTGTGGGACAATAGGTAACAGACAAGTTGCAGAAAAGCCCAGGGAATGCTAAGAAGCTAGCTACTGGGCACAGATTAGCTACTGTCAATTACCAGAAAATTGAGTAGACTGCCCCCTGGGGAGGTAAAAGTCCAAACAGGGAGAAGCCAGAGCACTGAAGAAAAAGATTTGCCCCCAGACAGACCCCAAAGTCAGCTTCTGTGGCTACAGTGCAATGCCAGGAAGATCTGAGGGACAGGGAGGAGCACGGAGACCAAGCCAAGGGCACTCCAGTCTCAAGTTCCCACAAAGCGCTCTGCCTGCAGGGACCCAGTTGCTTTGTTCTCTGACAGTCCCTTTAAAGTTGATGTTGTGACACCTGCAGGGAAAAGGAAGAGGATTATTTGACAATTAAACACTGGGCTATAGGGTAGTGTTGGCTGCTGAAAACAGAGCAGAATTTCAGAGTTTGCTTTTTAAATTCCTGCATGGCTCCCTCCCTTGGCTCGGGCTTCCTCTAACTGTAGTAACCTTCATGCCAGCTTCCATAATGGCTCACTCCAGCACAGGGCACAGTTCTGTATCACTGGGCCTTGCTGAGTGGCTTTCGAAGCATCCAAAGCTTTCTGTTCCAGAAGGTTTTATCTATAATGGGAAAGAGGTGGGATTACGAAAGAGCTTTGAAGCTAAAGAAATCTCAGTGATTTAAGACAAATACCCAAACAGAGGAAAGTTCCCGGAGTGTACAGCCCATGTTGGAAAGGGTGGGATTAGAAACTAACTTACGGGTGAGTAGCCCCCTTTGCCTTCCCTCTGACCCTGCCGAGATGGACAGTGGGCAGCATCTTGGGCTTCTGCTATCTAAAAGTCTTCCCTCCACATGCTCACAGCTTCCCCAGTCATCCGAAGAGGAAGGACTGCAGTGTGGGCTGAACGGTTCATGTAGGTTATCTCATCGGCCATCAAAATGAGAAATGTGCCCACTGTACTGTACATATGAATGCCCAGAGCTCTAGAGGGCAAAGCCAAAGCTGATCCAGCTAGTAAGAGATAAAGACATCTCAATCCAGGCTGACCCCTGAGAGGCACCCAGCACCCAGCAATGGGGGAGGGGCAGTGTGCTCTTGGATTTCTTGGACGACAGACTATCACAGTTTCAGTTTGGCTTTCCTACACCATCTTTTCTTCCTTCCCTCTCTTCCTTTCAGTACTAGGGATTGAACCCAGGACCCCACCCATGCTAACAAAGCCCACACATACCATACATACACTGAGCTAAGTCCTCAGCCTTCTTTCTACTTTTTTTTTTTTTTTTTTTTTTTTTTTTTGTAGATAAAAGGGAGAGTTTAGCCAGCAGCAGAGACATCTGGCAGAGTCCAGAGTGAATATGAAATATGACCATGAGCTGGGCCATATGAGGAAGAAGGCAGAGGAGAAACGGGGACAGGAGAGATAGGGGAGGAGCCACTCACCAAAAGGGGTAGCCTGGGTCAAGAGACTGGCATAGCCAAAATGGCTATGAATGGGAAGGGTAGCCCAGCCCCTGGCTGGAGAAGTTTGGGGTAGAGGGTGGGGTATGCCAGCCAGAAGGGCCCTGTCATAGGTAGGAACTAAGGAATGCTGGGAGAACACAGCAGTCAGGTCCGCTTTAATATGTTAAATAGGTACCCAAATCAGCCATTTGTCCAGGGTTTGAGCCCTAATAACAAAGTGTCCTAGTTAGTTTTTTGTCAGCTTGACACAAGATAAGGGTCATTTGGGAAGCAGGAGACTCAGCTCAGTAGATGCTCCCATCAGCATGACCTGCAGACAAGTCTGTGGCATGTTTTCTTGATTGATGATTGGTGAGTAATGGTCCAGCCCACTGTAGACCCTGGTCACATGATCCTGGGATGTAGAAGAAAGCAAATGAGCAAGCCAGGAAGCAAAAGCTGGGAAGAAGCACTCCTCCATAGCCTCTCCTTGAGCTCCTGCCTCCACGTTTCTTTCCTGAGTTCCTACCTTGGTTTCCCCTAATGATGGGCTGTAACCTATAAGCCTTGCTTTCCCAAGTTGCTTTTGATGACAGGTGTTTATCACAGCAAAAGAAACCTAACTGAGACACTATTTTCTCAGGATTACTTTGAACTCATTCTGTACCTCAGGAAAGACTTGAACTTAGCCCCCCGGCCTCTGCCCCGGGGTTCCAGTATCCTAGCCTGTCTTGCTCCCTTTTTAATCCCTGGATTTATACAAAGACCATCAACCATCGTGTTTACTTAGAGAAGACCAAAACTACTGGCATCTTGACCCTGCACTTCTGGATTTGTGAGAAATAAACTCCTATTTTCTTTATTCATTATATAATGAATATATGTGTGTGTGTGTGTGTGTGTGTGTGTGTGTGTGTGTGTGTGTGTGTCTTGGACTATTTGTTGTAGTAACACAAGCAGATTGAAACACACGTATGTACTGTCTTGCATCCCATTGTTTTATTATTATTATTATTTTTTGGTGTCACAGTTTTTGAACAAACATTTATTGAACATCTACTCTACACTAAGAACTGTGTTGGGTGCTGTATACAAAAAAGTGTTAAAAGGAAACATGATCCCTCTCAACACAGAGAGATGGCTCAGAGGGTAAGGAAACTTTCTGCCAATGCTGATGACTTGTTTAATCTTAGGGCTTAAGTGATGGATGAAGAGAATGAACCAGAAAGTTGTCTTCAGACCATCACAGTCTTTCCATGACGAATGAGTGCCCCACCACTAAGATAAACAAATAAATGATAAAATCTGTGGATGAGTGTACAGCTTGACGCAGAAGATATACATTCAGCAAATAACGGCTTACATGAATGTACAGTTATTGCAAATACTTTGAAAGGCTAGGAGCAGGTGCCATGTAGATACATAATAAAGAAATTCCTTCCAGATACTTGCTACTTATCTTCTCTACCAGCCCCTCATCCTCCAGTAATTCCTAGTTTGGGTTTGGAGACCCAACACACACATGATCTTTAAAGGTGACAAGTGACCAAATCTACATCAATCAAAATTTTGATTATCTACCATAATAATTATTAATCCTCAGATAGGCACATGCCTATACTCAAGGAGCCCAAACTAATCAAACTAAACTCTGGGTTATTTGGGGGCTTCTCTGAGAGAAAAACATCCATTTTGTCCTGTTAGGTTGCATATGAAAGGAAAAGGAAAGTGTGACAGTAGCTGTTCAAACAGAGGAAGAATGCACTTCTCAAAGGAGCCGCCATCACAAATAGTAGAGCAGGTAGAGCAGCAGAGATATATCAACAGGCATATGATAAACACCAAGGCAGTAGCACAAGAAACATGGAAAACCAAAAGACCACTCCAAAAAGTACTAGTCCCACAAAATAGCATCAAGAGAGTTAGTTAGATCAAATCCCTGATACAGAATGCAAAAGAACATATAAGTATGTTCAAAGAAATCAAAGAATTAAATATGCTCCCGATTGAGGACACAAAGAACTGAATGGCATATGAAACATCATGCAAGATATGAAAGAAGAATTCAACAGAGACGGAAATAGTGAATCAAATTCACTCTAGAAAAAAAGGGGAGAGCACACAACAATGGAAGGAAGTGTTAGGGAGTGTCTGGAGGAGAATAGGGGAAATTTGGGGAGTAAATGATTAAGATACATTATGTAAGGAAAAATGGCCAGCCAAAGAAACACACCCTGAGCAGAGCCAAAGAAACACACTTTGGCCCTGCAACCAGAATCAAAGAAATGCAGAGTCAGGACTCTGAATCCAGTGCCAAAGAAACACACTCTTTCCCTGGAATCAGAGCCGGGGAAAGAAATACACCCTGGCCCTAAAATTAAAGCTAAAAGACAGTGAAAGGAACACACGTTGGCCCTGAAACCAGAGCCAAATCTGCTCCTGACCC